ATAGAAATATGTGATTATATCGTGATGTGTTCATCACATCGTTGGCGCATTATAACTCACGAAAAAATATGTAAAAAATATTTTATTATTGCACACATATATTCTTTATAGTTATTATATTTAATTTAAATTTTAATCATTTTGATTTTGATAAATTTCTCATAGCATATATGATTTATTAAATTATTTCACTGCGATGTGGAGAGAAATCTCTTCTATTTGATGTTACAATATACCAGAAATCGATAATATATACATAACTGATATATATATCTTGTAAACTATATGTAATAACGATATATTTGCGTAGTTTGATAACATCGGCGCTAATATATAATAATAATATGAAAATTATATAGTCGTAAATTATTTAGATATTTCATAATATCTGATATGGCGCTTATAGGCAGCAGGTATATTGGACTTTCCTGCGCATAATATCACATGTAATGAGATTTCATATCGCGAGATTATCATTCTATTAATACCTACATACAGCACAAGTAAATACTCTCTCTGTTTTTAATTAGTATACATTAAGATTTCACAAATCTGTCATTCTACAAAATAATCATTCTTTACTTAAGAGGAATAAAAAAATTGTTTATACATTTTTAAGAAAAAATTAACATAATAATTGCAATATATTAACGATAGATCAGATACATCACAAGTAGAATAATTGAAATTTAAAATTCGTAAACGTTCTCATTGCAAATCATGCGACTGATGGCTGAACATTTGTAGCGGTAGACTTCCAATACATCGAAGGTATCTACAATACAAGAAGCGTGGTAATGAAAACATGCCTAGAACCGAGGAGAAAAGTCGCATTGAAAAGCATCGCCGAGACGAAGTCCACAAAGGAGGATCGATGATGGTGTATGGAGGTGTCGTTTCGTAGCATCGGGATTGGAAATCGGGTATCTGGATTATCCTTTGGCATCTCCTAGTATATCACGAGACGCTGCTGAGTTAGGGTAGAGGCAGGGTATAAGGAAGGGGTGCAACGAGGCTGCATTGCTGAAGCAGCGGTAGCAGCAAGACGGTGGAAGAGGATCCTTTATGATCGCCTTGACTCGAAGGAGCCAGTAACTCCGGCAGAACACTCCCCCAGCATCCTCCCTATCGTTTTTCTATCTCACTCTCTCCTCCACTCCATCCTCTCTCCCCTTCTCTTCTCTTCTTCTGTACTTCCTTTATTGGCACACCCGGTATAATAAGGAGCGTTTGTATTTAGTCGGCCATGCGCAGTACTGCCTGTTGGCGTATCATCGATCAGACCGGCGACTGACTATTGGATCAAAACAAGAGGATGAGAATGGAAATGGGAATAAAGAGAGGATATACTGTCTGGCAGAAAGGACAACGGAGACAACCGGAAAAATAGAAAGGGCGGGACATGTCGTGGACCTGAGAAAGTCGTTGCGAAGCGATTTCTAACTGAAACTAGACAAGCAAACAGGACGTATTTTTTGGAGAATTAGGAGAAGCGAAAGACGAGCCTATTTATTCCAAGCTAAATATCCCAATATAATTAAATAACTAATTAGAAACTAAAGCTGAAAATTTGCCATCAGATGCTATTAGTTCGAGAAGCCTTGAAGGCCTATCTGAGCCTACTGTGAGCTTTTTGATTCTTCGCTGTGAAAAGCAAGATCAAGAAAGGTCGTGGAAAATTACCATAAATGATTGTAATTTTTTGGCTGGGATCCCAAGGATTCTGAACATTTTAATACTCCATCTTATTGTCTTGAAATTTGTTATATTTGTTGCATTAAATATATTATCTCTTATTCTTCTCCTAGATTTCAAATCGAATATTAATACAGTTTATAATAATTTGAAATTATTTTGTGATTAAACGAGAGTATAAGAGATTGAAAAATTTTAATATAAAAAAACTAAAACACATATAGAATTCGGATTTGACTTAATTATTATGCCTCAATTTTTTTTAACCTATGCTTCTTCAAAGGAGCGGAATAATTAAAATAAATCCTGAATTGAAATAATTTTAATTACTCGATATCAATAAGAATATTGATATCCTATGCATATGATTATTTAATTTCAAGAAAAACTCACTTCCGACAATATATACTTACGTATTATTATGCATGGTTAGCTTTTATTTATTAGTTGATGCTGTAATTTTGCGCTGTAAATTTTATATTAGAATTGTTAAATCAATTTTTTACTTTATTTTATATTATGATATTAATCTATTAATAGCTCTATTAATATATAATATATAATATATAACATATAACGTATAATCTATAAAATGAGTAAATAATATTCATATGATAATAATTTAATGATCTTTTGTACATTAATTTTTATTTTAATAAGATTTATTGCTCAATAATATGATATACGATATTGCTCAAGTATACGATAATTAAATTATTTAAACTTCTCCACTTTACAAGATAATTAATTGAATTAATTTATATAAATATATTAACGAAATAACTTAAAGCTTATAACAGTCTTGCTCATTAGTATCAATATTTCTCAAACAATCTCGATTATCAGATCTCATGAAAATTTCGAAGGAATTGGAAAAATCTTGCTAATCGCATTGTATGGAATACTGTGATGGCGGAAGAGATGAAAATTAAGGAATGCCGTTTGTTTCCTTTCTTCGAAAGACTTGCGAAGACATATATATATATATATATATATATATATATATATATATATATATATATGATAAGATAGGGTGACACTGTCCTAAGGATAATTGGAGATCTCGTTACTTCCCACCGGTAACTTCAATTTGCGATCGACCGATAATGAGATATCGAATCCTGTATCTCCGATCTCTTTCTCTCTTCCTCTTTCTTTCTCCTTTACTTCCTTTTTTATCCGGTGTCTTAGCCAATGTCGTAGCTTTCTCGGCTTACGTTCAAACAACGACGTCAAGACGTATTCGGTGTCCCCTAGACACTTATTAAACACCCTCTTCTTTTTTAACACGACAATGCTAATGTTATCATGTTTCGACAAAGAAATAGGAACCTGTATCTATTTATTTATACATTTGATATGACTAACATATCACAGTTGATTTTTCTTTTTTTATATTTTTATAAAAATATTAAAATTAAATTGTTGAATTTAATAAAAAGTGATACAAGTGATATAGAATAATTTTAATTAATAATAATTTTAATTTAAAAAATGTATGTGATGCAATGATATAAAAATAGAATACGATATATGTTTTAAAAGCAGAGAGTTTATAAGAGCACATAAATTAATAAATTTTATTTTTTTGTTAACAAAAGCGAGTTGCTTTGTTACCAATGTTTTTGCGTGGACGCTTGTAAATCATGAAAAACCGCGTGCACATTGAAATCTAAGCGGAAGATAATTTCGGGGTGGCAGTGCAAATTGACAGGGCGCGCGACGCGTTTCCATTCATTTAAATTACGCACCAATTCTGCCGGTGACTTTGGCATTGTTGCTGCAAATTGGTCTACGCCCTAGCCTCCGGCCTCCCTCTTGTGTCCGGTCGTATATACGCTTGCTGAACAAACCGATGCTTGTGTCCAGCTTTTTAAATAACGGCCTGTAACTATCGCGTATATACGTCCTGTATTAAACGCTTTAAATTATGGATTACTTCGCAAATTTTAAATTGATTTTTTCTTTATAAAAATATTACAACAATTACAACTTTGCGTAAACGAATGAAAATGAAGGAAAAGTTGAAAATTAAGTTTTATAGGAATAATGAAATAGATAATAAATAAAAATACACAATAAAATATATATTTTACTTAATTTTAAATGTAGATTTTAGTACAAAGTTTTAATGTGACGTATTGAAAACATATTTATTATCATAAATTGAAAAGAGCCGTGGTAAATCACAGTACTAATTTTTTGCTACAGCAATCGACTTCGAAAATAATAATAAATAAAGTAATGATTATTTTATCATTTCCTGAACATTAATTTTTAACTTGCATATGTATCTATCTTTTGATTTTGCTTTAAATGCACATATCTGTATTGTTTCATATAATATATTTCTACTCTATGATTGATTATTTTCGAACGCTATAACAAAAGTTTAATAACATAAGATTAATTTTTTTTGTTACCAAAACGATTACTTGTAATTTATTTGATGTACAGTTAATGAAAAAATAGTAGAGCTGCACATACTTTATAAAATTACTTTTATGCGATTGATAGATCAGTAAATAATTAATTAATATATAATATTTGTCGAATAATGCAATGCTTATTATTCTTTGGAAATGTAGTTCGTTATATGCGAGCGTGCGTGTGGAGAAAGCGACACGCGTCTTCACCGTAGGAGGCGAATCATCAGCGAATCATTACTAACAAGTAACCTAACAGGCATGAAAAATAGGATAGTAGCTTTTGAGAAGGCCATTTGAGCATGATAATTAACTATACAGCATTGTGACACGTGTCGTGCGAGTGCAAATTGGATAAAGTAACTGATCGTCCGGCACTATCATGGTAGTCTAATTAAGGAATAATGTAAGCGAGAAAACTAATGTACAAATATTTTTTTAACGTTAGTACAATATCGAGACAAATTAGGTATTTCGATGGTTGAATGCTTTATTATCAATCGTAAAGTTTACATTTGAACAATGAATATATGTTGACGACAGAAACTATAAAAAAACTAGATCAATCTTTTTATTAAGAGAACTAGGAAGAGAGATTCAAATATAATCGATAAATAAATTATACAATTTATTTATTTATTTATATAGATTACAAATAAATATTCCAAGGTTTTTGTTTGCACGGTATGTATTTATTATACATGTACCCAATAAACTAACAAATATTTTATATTTTGAAATATATTATAAACGTATATACAATATTAATTTTTAAATTCTGATTAATATTAAATTAGAAGAATAAGAATTAATTCTATTATATTTTCTCACACATGGTATGAAAATGCTTTTTCTAATTACCTATTTATTTTGTTTCAGGTATGGTTTCAAAATCGGAGAGCAAAATGGCGCAAAACGGAGAAATGTTGGGGCAGAAGTACTATAATGGCGGAATATGGTTTATACGGAGCGATGGTTCGACATTCCTTACCACTTCCAGAAACGATTTTAAGAAGTGCCAAGGAAAATGAATCCGTTGCACCGTGGTTGTTAGGTAAGAAAGAACATATTTCTCTAACAAAATTCTTAAATTAATATTTTGTTAAATTAAATTTTGATAATTTAAGTACATCAAATCCTTGAATCTTTCTTTTAAATTTGGGCCTAGAATTGTATCCGCAAATCTCTTAATAAAATTGGACACGAATGCACCATTGGTCATTTTATATTTTTCTTATATATATATATATATATAAAAGAGAATATATTACGTAATATGTATACATATAGGAAAATATAAATTTATCTAATGTAATGTTTACAAGAAATTTTTATTATTTATTGATTATTTTAATTATTTCGCTTAGACAATTGTAAAACATTTTTTTATAATTAATTAATTTCGTAATTTTATTCTATTTTGCGATATATATTAGCAAAAAAATAAATGACCAAAATAAGAATGCTTAAAAGATTATGAGAGAGACCATTGAAAACCGGAAAAGTTTTGATAGGAACACTTAAAATGAAAGTGGCCCAGCAAATTTGGAATATTTTTTTCTGTTGGTTTGTACCAGCTCAATCGTCTAAGACAAGCAGCTTTAACCAAGATTTCGAATGTAATCAAGAACTGATTGACTGTGGACCTGTAGGGATGCATCGAAAGTCGCTCGAGGCAGCAGAGCATCTCAAATCTGGCGGAGAGGACAGTGGTAACGATCAAAACGGAAGCGGAAGCAGCCCCAATCATAATCATCATCAAGGAGGACCAACCAGTTCGGAAAGCGGACAGGAGAGTCAGGACGGCATGGGACCTTCGTCATCCACGAGTAAGTTCTATTTTGCCTAAATATATATTCAACTTAAAAAAAATCTATAAATTTTATATTAAAATATTTTAATTAAAAAATGTTTTTATCGCAATTTACTATATAAATATTTAATGAATTAATATTTGTGTGAATATGTATCTTAACGAAAGCAGTTGAATTATAAGTTCGACAATTTGGAAAAGAATATATTGCGCAAAAATATCATATATTAGTTTACTGTCCAAAAACATTTTTATCTAAATAAACTTTCTCTAAGAAATTTAACTATTGATAAAAGAATTAATAAAAAAAAGTTACGTACTTCTTTTTATTATATATAAATTTCTAGCTTCTTTTATTATATATAAATTTTTGAACTGCAATAAAAAAAAATATATATGTAGAATAGAAAAACTAAAAAAAAAATAATAAAAAAGGCAAGAAACGAAAAATTTCACACAAATAAGTACACGCGTCATTGTGTTCACAGGTGTTGTACAGGATACAGAGCAACTTAGAAACGAGAGTATTGCCTGTTTAAGAGCGAAAGCGCAACAGCATCAACTACAATTGAGCCTGCAGCCAACATCGACACCGCCGGGCGGATCGTATCCGTCGGCACCACAATCCAGCACATTGCACACCTCGGTTTAATCGCAATTATATAAGCTCTTCTCTCCTGATAGTTCCGTGTCCGATATTTTTGCTGCTGATACGGAAGCACATCGTCCTGCCCGGCAAACTGTCGTGAATACAGGTGAATCGGCAGCATCGATTTCAAAATCAGTGATATTTTTTTAATGGATACCTTCGACGAAGACGGATTCTTTCCGGATAAGGTATAAGGCTCTCATCGGAATCGCTCATAATCAGATTGCAGCGATCGCGGTGATCGTTGACGATCTCGAATTGACTTCCGATTGACTACACGATTCTGATACACCACATTCCTCGCACCAAATTTCGCAAATATTTGCGGGGATCAAGATTATCCGTGATGCAGACTAATCTTTAGTGAACATCAAAGATACACGCAAGAGATATGTACAAGCACAACGAAGCATGACGAACCAACCGATCGAGCGCCTGTTTTGCGTTATCCGTTTACATGTCTCACGCAATTAGGCAGGCCTAAATCGACACAGATCCGTGTAAATCCACCGCAACGACTTGACGTACAATGATAAAAGACATTAATGGTATCTTCATAATATGTTTCGAGAGAAACGAATTATTGCCGGAAAGGGAATGATGGGACTAATTGTTAAGTTTAATCTTTATCAACGAAATAACATAGCCTACTGACGAACGATACAACGTACAATGAAAGATCATAAAAATTTCGTCAACAAAAATTTTCAGAGAGAAAATTTTCCAAAAAAATAAAAATCGTTGACGAAGGACGAGGCTTGATTATTCCAGGTGGCAAATCAAGAACCGACAGATTAAGAGTGAACAAAACTACCTAAGTAGAATATAATCGCTTTTCATAGTGCGACAGTATACGTATGCTTGTACGTGTGTGTATGTGTGTGTCTGTGTGTGTGTATGTGCATATGTATGTATGTATGAGTGTGTGTGTATGTGTGAATAAACGGGCGAAAGGAAAAGTGATAGAATGGAGCGTGATAAAAAAATTTGAAGATTCGAAAATTTCATCTTCAGAGCGTAAATTTGCAACGAATGAACAACGCAATGAACAAAGGAAATAAAAAGGAGGAAAGAGAGATTGTAGGGAATACTTAGCAAAATAACAGATTATATCAACACATCGAAAAAGATAGGCCCGAAGACTTCATATTATACATATATATATAACAAGCGCCCCTAAGACTTACAAGTTTACGATAACATGCAAGCATCGAAAGCTGAATTGACCGAATAAACTCATGTGTGTATTTAAAAGGAAGCGAGAAAGAGAGAGAAAGAGGGAGAGAAAGAGAGATATTATATGTGTAGATGTGTAAAACAAGCAAAGAGAAAAATAGAAAGAGGGAGAAAGAAAGAGAGAGAGAAAGAGAGATGTGTAAGATTTATTAGCGAAGACTTCCTATATGCAAGTACTTAAAGAAAAACATAACTGTTGTCAAATGTGCAATATATCGATATAAGTTCTAGCTCGATAAGGTATACTTTAGTGACAGATACATCTTACGCGAGGTGGTTGCGATGGCGCCGGTGTCTCGTCGGGCGGTTGTTATATAAACAAATTTTGCAATATGTCTTCTCGACAATTATATATATATATATATGAACTGAAAGAAATTCGTGGAATATCGCTCGTCTAATTCTTATGCTTTTTGTTCCTGCAAATTCATCTACGTCGTTGCACCGTTGTTTCGGAGCGCCCGCCTGCTGTATATAATTATATAAATAAAAAAGTATGTGCGAATGTAAAAGATGACTCTAAATTAAATGTGGTTGCGAGACATGCTGAATCGAACGAAAATCTTTTCGCGAGCACACTTTTGTGAGATCTTCAAATGAAAATATTGAAATACAAAAGGAAAGTATTTGCTTTATTACTTTATTACTAAATCTTTGCGGAGTAGAAATCAATAGATAATTTTAATTTTTCTATTGCACTGTATTACTTATTTAATTTTTCGCTGAGGCAGAGTCACTTATCTTTTATCTTAACAAGTGTTTTACAAAATGTTTTATAAAGTATCTCATAGAATTAGTATGATAAATTAAAATATTCTTGTGCATTATCTGAAAAAATCAATAATTTATATTTTAAGAATATTTTTCTCATTTTTTTCTTGTAATTGTCACATACAAATAATATTTAAAAAATAGTTAAAAAACTAGGTTTAAAAAACTATAGTGTTCGAATGAACTTTTAATAACAAATTTTCTAGTCAATTTAAAAACTATTTTTTCTCAAAATGTCGAAGATTATTGCAAGTTTCCAATTTTTGCTTATATCCTATATGTTTTTAATTAAATCTTAAATTGAAATTCTAGTAAAGTAAACCCCACCTGAAATTAATTATAATTAAAAGGAATGTGATTGTGCTAATATTTTAACTTTACAAAATTTAGTGTGGGAAAAATCCTTTTTCGCTCAATCGTTTAATTCGAATATTATTGATGCTTCGATATTTTCGCGGAAAAATTGTCTTCAAATTGTCTTCAAAAAATTTATTATTAATAAAAGAACCATTGATAATAATTTTGAAACATTTTGTTATACATATATAATTGACTTAGCCTCTGCCGTTCGCGTGTGAATCATACTGTCCGCTGTTGAAAAATTACATGCACTTGGGAATTCTTACAGTCGATATAAAGTTTATTATTTTCACGTTATTTGTTTTCAAATGTGCAGTATACAAATATTATATTGAAAGAGTTAATAGGTCGCAAAAAGTCTCGTCTAATTCCTAATATAGTCCATTAATATATATGTAACTTACAATTAATAATGCTATTTTGTGCTTATGATTACATTTTAGATATATGAATATAAATTTCCGCAAGAAGGAGGATCTTGACTTTCTTGCGAATTATGATTTTCGCGAGGATTCAGGGACAACGATCAAGCAAAATTCTATCTGTCTTAGATCAAGTTATACACGTAACATAACATATTATAATTTAAAGGACTCGCGCGATTTTATGAAAAACAAAGTAACCACATGTTCTCTAGAAAAAAACGAGTCAAAAATCGTAATGGAAATAATACCACTATTATTGTGAATACATTTAACGATGAGCTCCGGATCTGCAGCGAATTCTCTGTATTTGAATGCTCTAACGCATGCATAGTAGTCGGATAGTATACGTAAGAAATAAAATTTCTGAACAAATACGCATTTTTCAATGTTCATTACCTCGCTTAAAAATGATGAGAAAATATTATTTCGCAAATAATTTTTCTTTTCTCTTATTGAAATCTCATTATGTAAGACAATATGTGTATGTATAATAACTGTTTATTACTTTAAAGTTTTATAAAGAACTGTGACTAATAGATTAAATTAATTTAAATGAGACAAATTAATTTAAATGAGAATAAAGATGAATTTTTTTTTTGGATTTAGTTAATCAATTTGTTTTCGATTATGATATTTTATTTTGGAAAAAATATTTTTTAGCTATCGTTTAGCTCATTGATGGAATATACGATTTATCTGCGAAACTTTTATTTACTTCGATGAAAACTATTTTCACGTTTTTTAATTCTTATTTTTTCTGTAATTTTTGAAAATTTTATTTAAAGGATACTAGTATATATATGGATTCTATGCTGTTGTCAATCAACACGTGTAATGCGGCCACAATACCGGTTGCCTGTCTTACAGGCGATTCGAGCAGGTATCCTAAAACCTTATATAATATATATTGCAAATTCTGATAATTATATTGTTGCTACAATTTTATCTTCTCTTCATTAATATAATTATCTTCTTTTAATTAATATAATTATTATTAATTTATTAGATTGTTTTAATTCTTTTGAGATGAATAAAGAAGATTATTATCTTTGAATACTCTTGATTAAAAAAAAGTTTGTAAAATTTAATAAATGATCTAGAAAAAAATCAATTATATAACATTGATTTTAAAAACAAAAGATATTAGGGTATTGTTCCATTTTTTCAAACAAATAAAATAAACAATATGATTTAAATAATATTAAAATTTCACATTTAATTGATATATTTCTTCATATATAGATACATGTGAGATATCGATGATATATAATATATTAATTGGACATTGAGTCTTGTAAAATGGTTATGCTCCGAGCATGAAAACATTAATATCGAATATTTACAAAAGTACAAAAGCTTACAAAACATCAATTACTATACAGCAAACTCTTCTAATCACTTTTTATCATTTTCTTTTTCTACACATCGAAAACTAGGTTTAATAACGGCTTTAATAAAGCCAATATAATATAGTTTTCTAATCGTGTCTAAATTGTAATCATCGTACCATTTTTCTAACTTAGAAAATCAGACTTTTAGTTTTCCGGGAGCAATTAATTAGTTATATACTCACTGCTTACCTAGGCCTTTTATGCATTTATTAATAGTGGTAGATATTATTTTGATAGATAAAAAATCATTCCTTTTGATCAATATTATTTATTATTTAAACACCACGAATCTTGCGAGTGTTTATATATTTATCGCATTCTTTTTCGTTCAAGATAAAATTATTAATACCTATAAGTAAAATAAATACATCCTAAACATATGCTACAGATAATCTGCTGCATTGTTTTGATTCTGATACAAGGGACAGGAACTTTATTAACGTCTTGTCTGTCTTGTTAATACTAGATGACTATTACTAATGATATTTTGCGAAATTAATTATGCTTAATTGCTGTTGAGTTTAATTAACAAAATATGTATCGTAGCTTTTATAAAAGTAAAATGTCGTATAATTTGGTAGAGGCCATAGTTAATGTTTAGCATTAATAGAATTTTGCATTGGTTTACTTAGCACCTTTGTTAATTTCCATCATAATATTCTAAAAGTATTGAAAATTTAGTATCTTAAAAAAAATAAAAAATAATGTCTATAAAAAATAATAAAAGATAAAATTGTACATGTTCTTTTAAAATGCACATACATTCAATACATATATATATATATATTTTTATTTTTTTTTCATTGCATAATTGTTATATTTTTCATTATATGTGATTATTTTTATTGATCTTATTTTATTAACTTTAGATAATTTGTGATTTTAACTCATTTTGCCATCACTTTAGATGAGTAAAAATACTACTATCTTATTCAGAAAATTAAATAATATTATATATAATTTATGTTACATTTTCAGGTAGAAATTATAATATTATTATTTATATCTATATAAATTTATTATTTATTATAAATTAATAAAAAATTAATGAAATTCAAAATACTAAGCTATAATTGCACGTTCAACTCTTTGTAAATATTTATTTAAAAAATATTAATATTAATTCCACATTCAATTATTTTTTTACAAAGGTGCTTATTTCTTTTGTGCAAAATTTTCTAAAAATGTATAAACATTTAAAATTTTTTCTGATTTGGCAAATCCTTATAGGCATATTTTGCATTTTGTTAAGACTATTATATAACATGTTTTAAATATTAATGTATATTAAATTCCTGTAAGCGTTTTTCATAATGGTGTTTAATTCGTCGTATAAAATTTCCGCGAAAAATGTCTATATAATGTATATATGTACCAAATTTTGTATATAAAATTCACTTTTGTAGACAACAAACTTTTATATATCTCTCCGAATTGTGTGTAAAGTTTGGGGGTATATTTCATGTAAAAATGTATTATTTAAAAATGCATTAGTAAATTTAACGCGTCTTTCACGAATGATATCAAATTATCAATACGATATACATACTTGTAAATTATATAAGGAACATTATCTGTATTTATAATTAGATTGCTTAAATAATTTGCTTCCAAATACGATTAATTCTTAATAATAATAAATAAATTTTACATTAAAAAATGATCCATTTTTCGAGATATTTTTCGATGGTTAAGATTTATGGAGGTTTTAATGGCGTTCCCGGGAATCTTCCTTATGAGCGCTATGCCTGCGTGTTTCTTGACCACTAGGTGTAACAGGTCGTCGTTTTGATCTTTTAAATTTGGCAATATCTTCGCCGAATACATCGCCAGTTCGAAGAGCGGATATCAAGTCATCGAATTCGCCCTTATTGTCATTTTGGCCATTACTGTTTGCTTCGTTCTTTTTGGTTAGCGATATGCTATTTAAGATACCTTCTCGCGAATTCTTTCTCTCTATTGTTCTCTTTCGAAGCTGTAATATTAATTTTAATGTGATGAGAAAGTTTTATGAAATTGTAATGTGAATAAGATAGATAAATTGATAGATATAAATACAATATCTACAGAATATTGACAGAAATAAATACAATATAATTGTAATGTGAATAAGATAGATAAATTGATAGATATAAATACAATATCTATACATATTTTATTAATTACAAGACAGAATTGCTTACTTCCTGTTCTTGTTTTGCTCTACGTTCTTCTTCTTCAACCTTCTTTCTCATGTTTTCTACGTCTTGTCTCGCTTCAGCCAGAGCTTGCAGGAAATTTTCAAAAATACCAAAAAATTCATCTGGTTGAACGCCAGCCGAATCTTCACCAAATAATCTCACTGCTCGATCAAACTATTTCAATAAAAAAAGATTATTATTATTATTTCAATTAATACAATTATATTAATGTTATATAGGTAAAATAAAACTGAATATTAATATTGCATAAGTAAAAATAAGTGATCGATTAATTATAATTTCTTATTCATAAATGTAACATATAACGTAATATATGTTGCATACGTTATAAAATTAATAGAGTTAATTGATATGATAGGAATTAAAAGTTTACATATGATTGATACTACAGATATTCTTACCCTAGTCTTCATGTCTTGGAATAAGTCTTCAGCCTCTGCTAATCTACATGTGGCTTGCGCCTGGAAGTCCCTCATAGCTGGTAGAAACATATCACCCTGAAGTACCTGAGATTGACCTCGATGAAATTCTGAGAAAAATACAAATAGCACAAATAACATAATAAAACACACCTAGTTTTGTTCTCATACATTCTCTGATACTTTTGAAAAACTATTATTAATTATATAAATAGAGGCATAGAAAAAAGAAAAATTAGAACTAATAAGTAAAAGTAAGTAAAAGTTTATTCCCAGTTTTTGAAGTCTTTTTATGTAAATTCGAATTAATTTACAAAATTTAATTATTATATAATTTTTGTCGTACCTATCTCCCTCTGTACATCCTGCAGTCCATTTTTAAGATTGGCGACTTCTTTTTGCAGGTCAGCCATACTGACTCTAGCTGCTGTTCTAACATGCGGCATATCCTCTTCGATATCTAAGACCTCTCTGAATCTGGCTTCGAGAATCTGCACGAGATAATGTAATAAAGTTGTACCCTTAGAGTAAGAAGACTTTGTGTCAACCAGACGATTTAAAGAAGCCAATCGGAAACCGCACGCGTTACCCCGCGCGTTTCCGCGGTTGACATAATTTCCTAACGCCAAAACCAATTCCAAAAGCTTTCTGAGTCTTCTTGATCTGGCCACTTGCCGGCTCGCTTCCAGAACTGCTCGCATCCTCGGCGTCAATTCCGCGATGCTAGCCGCGAATTTCTTCTTGTAATGCAAAGAACGCAACCTCTGTTCATAATGCGGTACTCTAAAGGCAGAAATATTTTGTTTATGCAATATATGTAGTTACAAAAAAACAAAAACAAAGTGATGCGTGAGGTATAAGTTAATATCAAGATTTTCCGAAATTTAAATATCATGAGAAACTAGAAGTTCAATCAAGATTAATTAAAATATAATATTTTTCACCAATAATTTAACATTAACTTCAAGCTAATAATTATAATAATAATAATAATATTGAAAATACAACGCACTTTGATATTTGATACAAAAAGCTGTCGGCTCTATTCTGCAATTCTTTCTGATGGATATCTAACGAGGCGGCCTCCTCCGAGGACGGTATATATTTTAGCAATTGCTCCACCATATCGATATGCAAAATGTTCTGTTGATCCATTGACAATATCGTCCTAGTGATTTCATTGTCAGACATCTTCAATTTCGATAATAATATCGTGCAATTTTGCGCCCTCCTCGAATCGATCACTGACATCGTTTTCTTATTTTTTCCTAGAGTCCTTAAGTCTTCTATTGAGCCCTCCGTGGAAACCCCATTCTTCTGATATGCGCAAAAGATTTTGTCGATAGACTCAAGATCCATTACATTATAAAGCTTACTATCGTCCAACTCAGACCATATTGTGCCTTGCAACTTTTGCTCAGGTATCTTGGACCAATTAAATGATTTCAAAGGGTTACTCGGCTGCGGAACGTTTTTTATTATCTCCACCTGCAATATTTAATATTCAATTATTTATTAATTTATTATTAATTATTATTTTATCAATTAATTATACTTTTTGATGCATCTAATTATATGATACGTTGTATTACATAACGTAGAAAAAATTGATCATTAAATGATAGTATTAATTATAGAATTAAATGATATCATTAATAATATATAGATTTAATAAAATAATTATTATATAATTAATAAATTAATAAATTGATATTTATTGTTATTAATTATAATAACTTAGTAAGTTAAAGTATAAATTTGGCGAGACATTGCGATGTCTCTTGATAATAATAATTAATAATAACCTTCATTGCTGGAGGAGCAATCGGCATTAAACAAGGAGGTGGTGGTGGTGCTAATGGAGGAGGTGGCGGTGGTGGCGGAGTAGGTTTTGTCTCAACCTTCTCAAGTACTTCATCCTCCACAATTTTCAGTGTAGCTTTTGCATCGTCTGGCAAACTTCCGGAAGCTACCAACTGTTCTAGACGCTTTCTCTCAGATTTCTCATTATTAATTTGTCGCGACAATGTCTCAAGATTATCTTGTAGTTCAGAAATTTTTTGCTTTGTCTCTATGTGCATCGATGTCTCTTTCTCGAGACGTTCTTTGATTCTTGCTAAACTCGCCTCCATATCTTCCTACAAAGTACATATTAATTAACGATGATTTTCATTAGACATTTTAGTAATATTAAAATTAATGGAATTAAAAATTAGTAATATTAAAATTAATGGAATTAAAAATTATTATAAAGAACTATAGATGATAGAGTCACATATAACTATTTATGTTAAAAAATAAATAATGTGCAGAGCAATAGAATGATAATGTTTGATATGTATCATATATAGAATAAGATTAATAAATAAGATATATTTTATGTTGAATATTTTATATAACAAATAGTGCGCTAAAATGTTACATAATAAACTAATTTTAAATTTTAAATTCTCAATATATTATAAATTTAAATCTGAATGCAACATTCTTTTCATTTCTATAATAGAATGTATTGATTCTCAGTTTAAATAAAAAGAATCGAATCTTCTTTATAGACATCTTTAGATATATTTATATATTTATAATTAAAATTTTCCTATTTTTTGAAGATAGAAATTGATATTATATCTGATTTCCAAGAACAATATTGATTTTCAATCTTACGTACTTTTTCTTGAGTTCTCAGATCTAATTCTTGCTCCTTTTTAGCCAGTCTTGTGGACATATCTAAATTTTCACGTTCCAGCTCTTCGGCCTTTTTTCTCGCTGCCACAAGTTCCTCCTCTTTTGCGAGAAGATGAACAATCTCTTTTACATTTATTTCAATCGGAGCCACGTCCGGATTCGTTATCAAGCCTGTCTCGGTGCTTTCGGATTGCAGAACGATTTGCTGAACGATTCGATCGAACAGCAACCAATGCTGAGGATGTGAACCGTAATCCACTAAAAAGAGCAAACGCAGCATTATATGATATATCTTATATATTTTATCATGGAACAATCTATCGAGCCAAAAACTCACATGGCAACAAGAGACAATGTTCAAGTAAACTAAGAAGATGAGGATAAGCAGCAGTGTGACTAAGTTTTCGTCGCAAAAGATCAAACATGGCACTAGCGCTCTTAGTATCCACATGCTCCTTCTCAAACTTTCTAGCAAGTTCCTTTTCGTCCTCATTCCGCACCATCTCGAAGAAATCGAGATGTCTATCGAGTGTCTCATTCTCATACCTTCTCAGTTTTTCGATAATAGGCTGAATGCCGAGCATCAGTAGCTCGTATCTCAAGTGCAGTCTGAACTCCAGTGTCACCTGACCCGGCCCATAGTTCAACACGGCATTGATAAATGACATGATTGCCGTCTTCAAGGATAGATTATCCTTGTAAACGCCGAAATTTTTATCGAGATTGTTAATTATACATTGGAAGCGTGTTCTCTCGGAATGATATTGTTGGAAGTGCAGCATAGCCTCCAGGACCTTGCGATGACCTCCCGGCACTAGACAAACCGCGCCGAGGATCTCTAATACAGAGATTTTGGTCTTTATATTCTCAGTCGCCAGCGACTGCGATATTGTGTTGATTGCCGTTGGATGCGCCAACACATGCGCTCTACCATTCTACAAGAAACAGTTAATTATGAATAATAAAGAAGAAATAGTGACACACTTGATTTCCCTCGATGAAATTATAAGAGTTTAGTCAAGTATTAGTGGTTTACGTATATTCATTAAAGGGATATGAGAATGAAATAAGTTGTTCGTTTGCTTCTTTGAGGTACAAACTATATATTTATTACACAAATTAGTAAAGATGGAACTCACTGAATTGTTCATTAAAGCTTTTAGACATCCTATGACGCTGGTATGGAGATTGCTATCAGCCGCTTCAGCATTTATAGTCTCTAATACTTGTAAAAGAGCATTTAAGCCATCTAGTTCTATAAATCTGAGAACGAAACTATGCGGCTGCGTCCTCAAGGCAGTCTTTAGAGCTTCGACTTGGCGCATTTGATTCGATATCTCCTCATCTTCCTCCGGAAAAGGACTCTGCACAGAATATTCGATATGCTAATCATATACAGGGTCTAGAGAAACTTAAAAATATTATTATTAGAGAAAGATGATGATTCGCATATATCACTGTATAATTTTTATAACTTTCTCGGAAAATTATTAACTTTAAGCAGTCTTATTATCGTGAATTTACACGCATAACATATAAAAATATGTTTCTACATCTCATTAGTACTACATCTCACTTATAAGATAGATACAGCTCTTCCATAAGCACGTTCCTCTTTTTTCTCTTGTCAAGTCTTTTAATTTTAGTTTTGTTTAATTTTTTATTCTTGATTTATATTTTAGTAAAAAAAAACTTTTAAAGTGCAAATAATTTATTATACCATAACAAATAAAATTTGTAATGAATAAAATTACAAAATGGGAAAATAGTTTATCAAACATCAATGTTGTATTATTGACATCTCGATCTTGATTAGAAAATTTCAATATATTTAATGCACATCAAAATTTTTAATTGGAATATTAAATGCAGTCTGGAATGTCGAATACATTTTTTAAGAAAAGCTGATTGTATTGATAGTTATATTCCGTTAAACAATTTCGTTCACTCACGTTCGCTATAGTCTTCAATCTATTGATATAGTCCTCGGGATCGCCGCTAAGATCGGTTGTCCGTAAGCCTCCGTTGTCCAGTGTGCCATTACCTTTTCTAGAGCAATATATCTGCCACTTTTTATTCGCAGGAAGTGCTAAAACTGCTTGTCGATTGGCTTGAGTTAAATCCAATTCATCGACAAGTTCGAGAAACATTTTATTTAGCTCTTCCTCGGATGGCATTGGCAAGGTAGGTGTCATCGCTTGTAGCGTGAGCGTACCCGTGTGTTCCACAACGCAATACGTGATTTCCGGTGGCTCATCATCCTGTAAAAAGAGCAATTAAATTAGTTCAGCATTTTGTATAGGTTATTATAGATTGTATAAGTAATAATGCAAAATATAATAATATAATAATATATATATCAAGTTATAAAAATATGAATTTGGCCATTTTTCATTCCATATACATGTAACATATATTTATATAAATAGCTGCAAAATCTATAAAATTGTTTCAAGAAAAAACAAATTTGATGCCCATTAATTTCAATATCATTTAATATAATTTAAACATTATTCAATTTTACTTTTAATACAGAAACTATTATACATAATAAATAAATTTTCTAAAATAATGCATTTTCGGTATTTTACATTAGTATCGATATAATCATTCCAAGTTTTTTGTTGAGAATAATTAAAATAATCCTATAACAAAAGCATAGTCAAAAATTTGCCATTTTTATACCACACGCACAACATGTGCGTTATATGAATTATACTAATTTTATTTATATGAATTATAATTAATTAAATATAATACTAAATATACTATTACTATTATGTTTATATTGTGCAAATTATATTTAAAATGTTAGTTACGCATACATATATGTGCGTATATATAGACTTTCGGGTAAGCGGATAGCATCGCGATCAATAATGCAACTTGCTGTTGCCGCAGTTCTTTGCACTATGAGTGAATTTCGCTTTCGATTAATAAAAGTTGGAAACTTTTATACATTTTTCCATTGAATAAATTATCGTAGTGATTTAATTGAATATTTATGAGAAATGAATTTATGAGAATGACAGAAAGAGTTATAACAACCGAGGATATGTAATTAACTCTTAATGTTATTAATATATGTAAATTAACGTATGGCTGAGTATTTTTTAAATCGTCGCACTTAAGACAATATTGTCAATGATTCTACAGTATATATACAGTATGCGAAATATATTTTATTAAGCCTTCAATAATATTTCGAAAACTCTGTAATGGTGATATTTAATATAGATTTAGGAAAAGTTGCAAATTTTTTATATATTTACATATATTTTACACATATTTTACATATATTTACAAATCTAATTATATGTGGAGCCTTAAATCAAATTTCAAGACTTTATTTATTTAAACAAATTCGAAAGGAAGAATATTATACATTGCGAGGTAATATTATATGCCTGATCATTATGAATTTCGGGACAACAATAAACACGTAATAATAATGGACAATAATTAAATTATTTCAAATTATTTGAAAATTATTATATAAATTATTATAATTAAGATATGATACACAATTTGTGTATGTGATGTATGATTGTGTATGTACATATATTAGAAAAATTTTACCGGTTTTAATTTTCAAAATCTATTTCTATCATTATACATTCGTTTTCATTTCGTTCTATTTGCAGTGATAAGTTCAGTCGATAAGAAGCGATAGCAAAAGTACACATACAAGCTGAATTCCTAAGATACTTTTACACGTGACCAGAAAATTATTTATTCCTATACTGGCGTCGATTTATTCTTTGTAAATATTATCCCTATATGTTTGCCGCAGTAAGAGATCGCACATATTACATATATTATGTGTACGCACAGATCTGACGTTTTTCTCCTGAGAATTACATGCACATATCCTTCGTGTCATGTGAAACAGACGTGTGCACGCACGTGACCGTCACGACACGAGGAGCTACAATCCAACGTGATACTCGACTAGCGTGCACATGAGAGAAAAAAAGGTGCTATTAATTCCTCTCATTAATAAAAGAAAAATGCACATTTATATATTCATTAAATGCCTATCTACTTTTATCATGGTATTATCACTCAAGAAAATTTGCTTTTTCGAAAATAACATTGTTAATATCTTTAGTTTTCGGAAAAATTATCTAACTTACACGATATTTATTTTTAAATTATTTTTGAAGAAGCATTTTTATTGTAAAAAATGATACGCGTTTTCTAGAGGAAAATTCATTGATATTAGAAAAGATATTATAATTAGCACGAGACGCTTTTGATTTGCAATATTTTTAAGTTCTGTTAGATAATAAAATGAATCAGTTCCATTAATGTGTATTAGACGTAACTGGCTGCAATTAGGCCCATATTTTGTCCCTTCGTTATATGTGTTGCAAATCGCAATTTATGATAAACTCATTTGGCACATTGCAGATGCTGATCTAATCGTCGCGCATTGTATGTAAGTCTTTATTGTCGTCCCGCGAAAATTATGCTGTCATGCTGGTAAACGAAACAGATGGACGATAAAAAGGAAATAACTTGGATGCTGGAGGAAAAGCAACTTCGAACGCATATCGCAAATATGTGTTTGATGAATAGTCTTACCTACAGCGGTGCAACTGTAGGTGACTAATGACGACATTATCGAGATTTGAAAGAATAAGGTGATTAGAAAGCCAAGATGAGATATGCTTATCGAGCTTCATTTTTATCGCGAATATATCGAAGGTTATCGCATTTAGAGGAAAATATAATAAAGAGTTAATATTAACAGAGATTTTAACTCTTTATTATATTTCCCTCTAAATGATCTCCGATAGCCTTCGATATATTCGAAATATTCGATACAAGACTGTGTATTTTATTTTATTAGAATTAGAACACGCATCTAAAATAGAAGCAAATCTTAGAAAAATACTTTAAAACATATATATTAATATAATCCAAGTAGATTGTAAATAACTTTGAAAAAGAAGAAAATAAAAAATGGAACAATCTCTCTATTTGAACAAAACAATTTTAATTGATAATTTAATTAATTCTCGCGTATATATATATATATATATATATATATATATATATATGTATCTTTAGAAAAATACATTAATTGAAACGCGAGAATTAATTAAATCAATTAAAATTATGAATTAAAATTGTTCAAATAAAGAGATTGTTCCGTTTTTTATTTCTTTCTTTCTGAAAGTTATTTACAATTTTTATCTGCTTGGATTATATTGTATCAATATATAGATTATAAAGTATTTATCTAAGCGATCTGCTTTTATTTTAGATGTGTGTTCTAATTTTAATAAAATAAAATACACAGTCTTGTCTAGAATATTTTTATCCGAGTTGATGATTATTTTTATAATCTCATAATATTTGAACCTATTTATATACCTATTTAAATAAAAACATATCTAGATAAATATCTATTTAGAAAACGAAACCTAAAACCTATTTAGATAACGAAATAATATGAAATTAAATAAATTATTTGGATAATTAAATTAATTAGATAAACTATTTAAATAAATACCTATTTAGATAAATTCTTTTTATCATATTGTACTTTTTCTTCTACATTATATTCACAAAAATTGTATTTTTCTTAATATATTTGTTTTTTTTTATCTTTTAACTCAAGTTCCCCTCGATATCGCGTGTGAAAACAAACTCGTAAAAACTGTGCAACATTTTAGAAAGGATATTATCGATAAAATACGACTTCCGAATCTACCTTTGCCTGACTAGTTTCCAGAAAAGGAACTGAATACGACGTCCTGGCAAGACCGATCTTGGTATCTCGTGTTTATTCTCCGAGTCAAGTATTTTAAAGGTTTTACTTTTCGGCCGATCGTTCACCAGGAAAAAAAGATCACAGAACACTTAAGGATACTAGATATACGATTATATTCGCATATAGAATATAGTCGACTTTCTACTGAGAGCGTCGAATGAATAAAAATCAATCAAGATAATGAAATTTGCAGATCACCCAGACAGCAGAGAACCGATCGAAAACGACCATTTGTAGATTATGTTGCGTTTCTGGAAGAAACGGTATACCGATTTTCTTGGCTCAATCGACCATCGCGGTCACGATGTCAAAGACCTCGAATGTTCGTGTTTGCACGAGAGGGACATGCCAGATCTCATGACGCTGCAAGACGCCGTTAATGCTGCATGATGTCCTTTTCTTACATACGATATATAGTAGAATAGTAATTTAATTAAGTTTACTATGAACTTTCCGCGGATTTTTCGTTCGAGTGTGCGTTTCTACGAAATTATTACATGATTAAAATCATATAATATGTGTTCAATATTATGAACGGTACAATTTGCGAATAGTAGAAATACATTGAAAATTATCAAAATTGAATCAAATGTTTTAAAAAATTATTGAAATATTTTACGAATGATAAAATGCAAATATAGAATAAAATAATGTTTTTTTATTCTATTTGAATATAAATTTTACTATAATTGGCTTTCAATTTTAATTACAAATATGTATACGTATATAATTATATATTTTATTTTATTTAATAATAAAAATTACAAAATTAGCATGAGATCATGGGAAAGTTGATTTAAAAGTATCTTTTTAAAATATTATCTGATTTTTGATTGAAATATATTAACACGTTAAAAATATATTCTTTTTAAAGTCAATTTTTTAATTTTTAATCTTAAATATTTCATATATATATATATATATATATATATATATATATATGCAGTGGAATCTTATAATAGTGCATTGTACGAGATTTTAAAATGCTGTAATAAGATTACTCGACATCACGATATTTATTTAATTTAAAAAGACATATACAAGAAAAGAAGAAAGCTGCAATCTGAAAACTAGAATAGGACATGTGCGACTTTTACAAAGGTCGATAATGTCAAGATATATAGCGCTTGGCATGCAGAAAGGCTTTCCTAGTAATGTATCTCACTAGGTTGCTAGATAAATAAAGATAATTGATGAGTATCATGGAGAAATCTTTGAAGTTGTTGCAACCTTGTTGTCCAATCTTGATCACGAAATAATTTTGCACTTGCATGACATGCAATGCATAATAGCCTGAAGCAACTTACGCAGAAAATTTTTCCTCACTGGTTGGAATAGTTAGATTTCTGTCTATTAATTTTTTTTATCGAGAATATAAATGCGAGAATAATCACGATTTTTTATCGAAAAATGTATGTATTTTAATAAATAATGATGATATATATTTATGAAATATATATGAAAATAATTACGAATAACGATGACTAAGAAAGCTTAATATAATAAGAAAATTCTATCTTCATTAAATATAGAAATATTTCTTTATAAATAAGTAATTATAGCGTGTATAAATAAAATTAAAAATTTGTTATCAAACTGATATAATGTATCCTTTATTTTATTTTTATTTATTAATAATATTTTTATATTTTCATGAAAATAGATGAAGTATACATACAGATTTGAAGTTTTTCACGTGTTGAATCTATTGAACGCATTCAATCAGAATACGTGTATTTAAATTAGAATAAATATATTTGTATAGACTTCTTATTGATTTAATTGATAATAAATCGCATAAGAGACGAATTAAGAGAGTGCAGTTAATAACTCAATTCTTTTCATTTTCAGTCGACTTTCAAATTAACACATGTATCTAGCTTAGAAACGGAGAAATGCTTCAACAAATTTATGCAGTATACATGTGTGTTTGCATGTTATACAATGTGTATGCAAGAATAAAAGAAAAGAAGTATTAAGAAGATATAATTAAGAATATATATACATATCAAACATTTTTTATAATAATATTAATCATATATAATAATTTTATAAGAGAAGTTAATGTCAAATTGATAAATTAAAACACACACATAAAATTTAAGTATAAATTTAAAAAAGAATTAAATATATAAATGCTTATTGTAAATATTTACTCGTTTTCTTCATCCTTTTTTTTACAAAATATAAACATATATTTATATTCTTTTGCTATAGATATAAAAAACATACAATTTTTTTACAATTTATAATGCTTATGCAGCTAATTAATAATAATTTACAATAATGTAACATTATATATATTTTTTAATAGATAATACATTTTTTCTTATTGACATTTTCTTTATAATTACATATAAGAGAGATTTTATTACCTATTTTAAAGAATTAAACTTGAAACTTTTTTATTTAACTAATTTTCCCAAATTAAATTACTGTTGTAATTTAATGATGACTTAATGAGATTAATTTTCTGATATAATAATAAAATATTAGTTTTTAATATATTGGCAAATATCAACTTAATTTAATAATAATCATCATATCATATATTATCTATAAAATTAATTATGCCCATAGAAAGTATATTTATTTACACAAAATTTACTTTTAATATCATACCTGGAGGCAGCCGCAAAACGATTTCTTCACTCGTGATGGCATAGTCTGGCAGCGACCGACAAATTCTTTCAGAGGCTGTGAACTTTTCACAGGACAGCTTGGAATCCTCTGCAAATTATAAAATCCTTTTCATGTAATATTTATAATTATGCACCGTATATATATATATATATATATATATAACAAAAAATATTAATGAAAAGATCCAAAGAATTTACATAATGTAAAGATAACGCATTAGTGTCATTATAAGACTAAAGTCATTATAAAACTTATTGTTATAATCACATAATGTTTTGTTAAAATACAACAACAGGTTCGTTGGAAAAAATATCTAATTTTATATTATATAAAGATATAGTTAAAAAAAGATGAATTTAAGAATTATGTCGTAAAAATTTTATGCACTTTCATAACACAATATAATATGCCATATAACATATAATTTAAAAACGCTATTAGAAAACAAGAGTAAATAATTTTAGGGATATAATATTATAATAACATTGCATTAAATGTCAATTTCGTAACAGACAGAGTTTCGTCTTCCTTTAATTTTATACACGGAACTTTCTGCCTAGTCGTTACACAATTACAATATACGAATATTATGTACTCGTATGAGAGGTACAAAAATGACAATTGAAATGAAAATTGAAGAAATACAAATCTAGTTTAATATATAAAAATAATACATAAAAATGTAACGTAATGTAATAATGTGATAATTTCAACTCTTCTCTAGTTTGTCTGATACAATTGTAAATACATCAAAAATTATGTTATGTTATATAATAATGAAAGAAAACTCAAATTTTAATTACAAATAATAGTTGATAATTTTAATTCTTTTTAATTAACAATGCAAGTGATGATCAATGATTATATAACAGCCTACAGATGACGGATTTTAAATAAACGTAGCGAAAGCCTTTCACTAACAATCAAAATTCCTTCGCGATTTGATTACCTACGTGCCATCTTTCAGTTTCAGTTTTCGGGCAGGGCACAATATCCTGATTCTCAACATTAGAAGACGACATCACTTTTCAAGATCAATCAAATCGTTCTTTTACACGATACAATCAGATAAAAATCAAACGTTCAGTGCGTTTTCGATTGTAATCATCCTTATGATTAACCGCGATTTTCACTTTTGCGTGTCTTGGAGAGGAAATCGCTTCTCTCACACGAAGGTAAAAACTGGAGAGTTTGGTTGACGCTGTCGACTAATATTCTACCTTATCTTGCACGTTGAAATTCTTATCGCGAAGAAAAAAGAACAGAACTACGTCAATTATCGTGCGCCAGTTATCGCGAGACTATGCATATCATTGCGGCCTTAACAATCAGCTGACTACCAGTCATATATAGACAAACCACTTTTGCAAGCATTTTATTTTTATGATGCGAAGGACATATAATTCCTCCATTTCATTAGCTTCCAGATATTTTCCTGTGCATTTATATTAGTTTCATAAAATGATTAGAGATAATATTTAAAAGTAAATAAATATTAAATAAAGAGTGTGTTCATATGATAAGCAATCAAGAATATGTAAATAAGGCTAAAAATCAAAAGTTATCAAAAGTCATTACATAATCAGCATTTAATAAATTGTCCATGAAAAAATAATAAATTACAAAGTTTGCAAAAACCGCGAAATATTATGAATAATAATCATAAGTTGAAAAACATAATTTCGATCTAATCCAGATTCTTCTTAATTCAAACAGAGAAGAGAGAGTCAAAAGTATATATTAAAATTAACTGTCAAAAACAAAGCAATGTATAGAAACAATAAAAACAAACAAAGAGACAAACGGTCATCATATCGATATCGATTCGCACATTAATGCAATAATTCCATTGTTCGTGTATTATCGTTTATATGTAAAATTCATAAAACAGGTATAAAAAGAAAAAACTCAGAATTCTTAGTGTGTTTGGCAGTTATATGTGCTTCTTTCGGCTGTTTCTATTCATGAATAATTGCAACCTTTCTCAAGCCGTTATATCGCGGTTCGTGTAACAAGAATGTCGAACACATCAGAGTCTTGTACGTGAATGTGTAAACGCGCATGATATTTCGTTCTGTGACACATGCTTTTCAAAATGCATAACTACATGTAAGAATGAATGAAATTTATTTCGCTTATTTAATGTATCGTGACAGAAAAAAAAACAAACATATATAATGATGTCGAACTGAATATTTTAATACATATTCTTGCAATTTGATTTGCATAAATTTCGATAAGTGATAGTAGTATTTCGAGCGTAGTACTGAGCTCTGATATATGTGTAAATCTATCTACACACATATTTTAACTTTTAAAGAATACGCAACTGAAAGAATTATTATTTTCAATGCAAATGCCATCGTAACGGCGTTTGCCGGAAGCGACTATACAACGACGGAAGCGAGTCACGGACTTGTAAGCATACTTTCCAAAGCTTTACGGTCTCTAATCCATCTTTTCAAATTACTTCCTCGTGAAAAATATACGCAAATTTACGTGCATCATGGCTCACCGTCACGTTATCAATTTGAGACAATTATAAACATATAAGAAAATAATTTCTTATATTTTGAAAGAAATGACAGTTTCATTATCGATCATTTAGTCATTTATTACGTATATTAATTTAACAAAAGAAAGAAATAAGGAAAGCGTTGAATCTTATTGGTTTAACATGTCAATACAAGTAAAATTTTTGCAAGAAAAATTCATGTACAAAGAAATATATTTGAAAAAATACATCATAAATAAATTTTAATAATATAATAATTTGTGTGATTATATGTTGATTAGTTAAAATAATTATATTTTATTTATATAAGACACGTTAAATTTTCTTATTTTCACAATACATAATTTTAAATAATGTAATTATTATTTAATAATACAAGATTATAAGTATATTTAATAATACAAAATAACAAACTCTGATATTAAATTATAATAATAAAAGGAAGGTAATAAAATAAGAGTTTAAAAATATAATGAAATGATTTAAAAAATCATTTACTTGAATCAAAACAATTTGTTGTTTTTTATATTAATTTTTAATTAAATTAGTAAATATTAATTATATATTAATATGATTATTATTTATATATATAATTATTATTAATAATACTAATTAAATGTGATTATTGACATAGAAATATTTGTTTTGCTAGAAATCATATAATCTCATATCTTATATTCCGATATTTTTCCGAAGCGTCTTATCAACTTGCATCGCATCGGTTTAAATAAAAATTAATAATTTATCTTTTTCGCCACATGACAAAAATGAACAATATTAATATATACATATCTCTAATTTTACATTCTTCATTAGATATAATTTCACATATATAATTATCAATAATCAAATTACTAATCAAATTATTTAAAAAATTACTAATAAATTATATCATAAAAAAGCATGATACATTTACACTATTTTTAATATCTTCTTTGAGTATGGAAATAACTTGAATTATATAATCAGCCAACATTTTTCGAAAATATCAAAAACTGCTTATCTAATTAAATCTGATTAGCTCAGATTTAGATCAATGAATGTTTTATCAACATAATTCATGGCAATAATACATATTTCGAAAGTTCTGGTTATAGAAATAATATTATATTAAATTTGCGCTAAGACATATTAAGTTAGATATATGCTGCAAAAAGAGGCATAATAATAACATACTTGAAAGTAATAAACTCATTACTCACTGCCGCGGTATAATTACCCGCTATAATTATTGTGTTTCGTGAGGCGCGTGCAAGCGATTTGATCTCGTAGATATCATTTTAATGACGCGTACATCATTCGGATCAAATAATCGCGCACATCAGTCGCGATTAATGTACGATTTATTTATGGCTACTTCGTGACACTCGATACTTGGAAGCTGTGCAGCGTGCGAGATTTTATAATTTACTATGTGAGCAAAATTTCGCACAAGTTTCATTGCTTATGGTACGGAGAAGATAATCATGATTGTGAATATACATATGAATATACATTTTCTCTTTCTTGCGTCTTGTTGAAATTAATAACGCTGCTTAATTCTACATCGAGAATTTTTTTGTAACTTTTTCAATATGTGATATTGCAGCTTGTATTGCAGAAGATATGATTTGATATTGCAGAAGAATTATTAAAATAAAAAAATACAATTTTATTTAATTATTAAAATAAAAAAATACAATTTTATTTTAAAAAATAAGAAATCATTAAACACTGTTTAAAAAATCAACTTATTGAAAATAAATATGCCTTTCCATTTTTACATATTTAAATTTAATTTTAATAATTCCTGAAAAAACTTTTTAAACAATTTTGAAATTATTTACTTTACATAATTTTGTTGAGAACCGACTTCTATTACATCAATGTATGCACGGTTCTTTCGAATTATGATCGAAATAAATACCTCCTCGCAATTGGGTCAATTCACTTGAATAATTATGGCGCGACGCATTATGCCATCATACTTTCAACTATGATGAAACTATCACTACTATAAACATCTTCTATGGACAAAAAATGCGAAATGTATTCTGCATATAAATTCGTATTTTTCAAAATATGAAGTATGTATAACATTACAAATATCTGCTTAACAAATTCATTATGATTCAACTAATTGCATATCGAGCAGAGTGTAATAACTTAAAGCATTTAATAATTTCTATACATTTTTTGTCTCTTTTTATAGATTTAATAGTATGTAAATAACATATATACATTATGTGCATAAGTTCTTTATTAAAAATTAAATATTTTACAAATAGTTTAGGCTTTTTAAAAAACCAATCTATGCAAATTCGGCGTTTTGTAAAAGGACTAAGCCTATTTATGCAAAGATTAATCTTACAGAAAATCTGTAATAGACATATAAATAATAAACATAAATTCTAAAACGTTCTTATATAAAAGATTATCTTTTTATCTTTTACATAATTTTATAATATTAAAGCGATGTAATAGAAAGACATAATAAAGAAAAAGACAAGTTTTGTTGGGTGTAGTTGAATTCAGAACAGCTGTACAGTAAGAGATTGTATGTATTATGATTACGTCTTCGCTATTCGCATGCTAATAAATTCAACTGTAGTGAAACACTTGTAACAATGAACAATGAAAAACAAGCTGAATTACACCGCACATTATCTCTTTCTATTTCATACCATCTACATCTTTCTCCTTGTCAGCTCTGATCTTTTCCTCTCTCTCTCTCTTTCTCTCTTTTTTACGAGTATACTCTCACCAAAGATATTTGAGTGAAACTTTTATGTGCCCTTCCCCCTTATCGACATCAGTGGAATCATTGATTAATCGATCTATCAACTGTCATAAAATGCGAGTTGAATTTTTTACCACTAATAAAAATAACTTTCTTATTAGCTACTGTCATTTTCTCTTTCACTCTCTCTTTCTCTTTTCCTCTAGAGTCTTCTATAATTTAGAAGCTGCTGCTAACTAATGATTGAATCATAATATTAAAAATAAACATGAGAGTAGAGTAGAAATATATCAAGGCAAAATACAACTGCTTGTATAATATACACAAATAGATTTTATATTAATATTTATTCTAAATATGTTGTTTGTTTGTTTTATATATTAATATTTGTTATATAAATATTATTATGTTATATTAATGGAGTCGGTCTTTTCTTAAAATACCAAAAAAGTTATTATTTACTGCAATTTTAAATTTTCCAAATTAAACACATTTACAATCCAGATTTGAATCAGAATAATATTAGATATAGTTTATTTATAATTAAATAAAGCGTATGATTTCGTTATTTATGTAAAAATCTAGAAAATAGGCATTATAAAAATAATTTTTCTTTCAAGAATGTCAAATGCTTTCTTGCATTGTTCCATTGCTCCAAAATAGATTGCACAAAGATAAGTAAGTAGCAAACCATAATCATAAAATAAACGGTACTTTGCCTGTTCTTCCAATTGTGCAATATAACATTCTTTTATCGCAATTTACTAGAAATAATAATTGCGTTTAAGACGAAGCTTCCACTAATAACGCATCTATAATATGCAGCTTAATATTTGAACTATACACATTACCAGATTCAGCTTTCCCATTTTCTCCAACATGGTGTCCATCTTGAATTTTGTCGATTAGACTCTTCTTCAAACGTTTGCCCTTTCAAGCCACTAACTGAAATGTCTTATACCGAGTACTCATTCGAAAGTTACTTGCTTAGCATACGAGGATTATCAATATTTGTCGATGAGCACTGTAAAATTACATCGTCCCAGAATAAAACGTACAACTTAGCGCATTTATAATATTTAATGTTTTATCCTGCAAAGATTTTGGAAATTATACGTAATATTTGAGAGAGATCTTTTCTTTTTGATATATAATTCTTTTATAATATAATCCTTTTGAGCGAATATCTTGATTCTTCCTGAATACTTGCAGTTGATATATTACTTCTTTATTCCTCAAAAAGCATTGATATAGAGTTGAAAATACTAATTTAGTTTTATTAATTGCTACATTTCTCTGCAATTTGACATTTGTTCCTATCATAGATTTTTATTTACGTTTAATTAATCTTTTTTTTCTTTTCTTCTTCTTAATTACACTTTTTTGATTTTTAAAAAATTTTTGTTTAATCTAGAATTGAATAGAAAGATTCCTTATATTACGTAGATGAAGGTAAAAAGTATTGAATAATATTTAAGAGACATTGCAATTTTATTTTTATTTAAGATTTTGTGTAGTGATAAAATTAATTAACTTTAAAGAATCAATATTATATTAATTTTATTCTCTATCAATGTTGAATAATAATTTTTATTACAAAAAGTTTATAATATTTATATATATTTCTTTATTTTTAGAAATAGAAATGTTAATCTTAGAGGTTTTATAATAAATTTCAAAATTTTCACAATAAATAGTAATTACAATAAACTTTAATCGCATTATTGTCGTCGATCTATCATCATCTTTTTCTTATTAATCAACATATTAATTAATTTATTAATCACTTCGATATCTGTTTCTATAATACAATCTATTTTTAAAAATAAAAAAATAATCCAGCAATAATCCAGCTTTTTTCTTCTACAAGATTTATTTTCTTCCTGTTTGTCGAGTCACCGTTTTCCCCGAAAAAGAGAAGTCTTTTTTAAAGTTTTTCTCATTGAATCTCTTTATTCATTTTTTACAAAACTGAATCGAATCTTCGTTAAAAAAATTAGACGTTTAACATCACAACATTTCGTTCATAGGAATATTTCACGTTCGCTTGCAACTATTGAAGAGTCCGAGAAAAATATAATATATAAATAATCAAAAATTCGACATTACAAATGTTACGACACTCGAATTTTCTTCTCTGTTTCGATCAAGATCAGCAGACGATCTCGCCTGCGAAACGTTCTCGCTCGCGATTGTAGGTTGAACTGCCAGGTGAAAACACAACACCTCTTAACCTGCACAGGTGCACATAGGAGTCCCCCGACTGGGCTCTGGAAAGAAGGGGGGCCTACTTGCGCGCTAGGATTCTTCGCCACGAATACTTTGATCGGCGCGGACCTGATGGTGAAACCGGAGAATATCATCTGCGCAATCCCCATTCTCTACAAAGATCGAATTTAAATGGGATAGATATTAGCTTAGAACAGATAGGAGTCATTAATCGGCGAGCGATAAGCGCAAAGGAAAGTCGAAGTACGATACATTCAAAAATTTGCTCGCGGGGAAATATCACCTCGTTCGAGCACTTTCTTTTGCGTGTAACATTAATGAAAACATAAGATATGCGAAAACTCCAACTCTTTTGTGACTATAGACTTTCTATCGTTATCACCAATTACAAATGACTAAAGACAAAAAAAGAAAGAAAGTGCATTGGATGATTAATAATATATCTTATTTTCTTTAGATCGTTTTTAGTTTACTCAAAAATGTTATGAAAAATATTCATATGGTTTATTTTACATGAATGTAATGATGCAATTTTTTAAATCTAATTTTTTATCTTAATAATTATAATTTAATATTAAAATTTTAATATTAAATTATAGATTTAATTGAACTAATTTCTCTATTTTATTAAGTACATTTGTAAATAATATAAATTTTTTTACATATTAACGCTATATCAATAGTGATATTACGTTGATATTATAGTTGATTTGTTCATCTAATAAATAGACCAATGTTTAATTAAAATATACATAATATTAATATGTCATATATATTAATACACAGCAATTAATATATGTATATCAAGATTTAATAAATTCTGAAGCGAAAGGCTCTTAAAATCCTTGCATATATTATAAATGAAATAACGAGCATATGCGATGCATTTTTCCTTGTAGGAAAAATTGATTTTTCCAATTGATTTTGGAAAAATCATTTTTATAATTCGATTGCTTTCATCTTATAGATCTGTGATAAGTTTGCTATATATTTACAAAAAAACTTGCTATATCGAACACGTTGTAAAATACATGAAAGCTATGAAATAAATTTTATCCAACTATCAGATTTTGCGTGCGCAATTTTACATTTTATTATTATATGCATTTTTCAAATTTTTAGCTATTAAAATTAAAATCCAAACACATTTTATGGATCAATAAGCTTGAATACTAAATGTACTTGATAAGCGAAGATAAAGAAATAGAATCACAGCTACTGACTCGCATGTATGCGTTGCATGTACCTGGCATGCGAAACGTGAATCTTAGATCTTCAGACCCGAAACCGTGACCCGCGTTGTTATCATCGTTGATGTGACGTACAACAAAAAGTGTCCGTCCTTGCTTGTCGCGCGGCAACAGCCTTGCTGGCAAACTACACTCTTGTCTCTTCGTCGCTGATGCGCGACGACTGGTTTTTCAGAAGGAAAAATAAAACACATGACCGTCAGAATTTTTTTTTCCTTCTTTGCGCCATTCCTCCTGCATAGTGGAGGGACGAGATAGAAGTTTATTGCCATCTCTTTCATCAGATTCTACCTCCACTTTGAAGACGTTCTATTATGGTAATTGTATCTGCAGGATTGTTAATAACGAGGGGAGTCCATGTAATCGGATTAAAATAAGTCGATCAAATACAAATGATAATGACATGAGCTTTGTCACAGATGTTTTTATTCAGAAGAATCCACTCGATTTGCTGCTTCAACAAATATATACCTATCCGGTACTTTTGATATTTTTCTAGTCCAACATCGACCAATTTATTATGAAATCATTCAGCATATTTTATTTTCCATTCTCATTGGACTTCTGTTATATTTATTATTATTATTCTGACTACAAGTCTATCTTCAATATATTTTTTGATGAACAGAATCTTGGAAAATCTTTCTTCAAATATGATTCACTACATGTAAACACTTAATATTCTAATTCGTAATTTAATTGTAACGTCATATGAATTTGTATAAATAGAATAAAATAAATTATATAATTAATAAATTATATAATTCAAAATCTATAGATATATCTTATTCTTGAATATATAAAATATTTTTTACAAAAAAATTTTTATTAATTTTATTATTTATAATTTTATTAATTATAAGTAATATGAATGTATTTAAAAGTATCTAAAACTTTCAGAGTATATCTAAAAAATAAACTTTCACTCTTTATTATTAATAATAATGTCTACTTTTTTATTATGTGCATATAAGATTGAATTGTCATGTCGTTGACATTTGTTTCTTTATCGCATACCTTTGCCACTTATTCAAATGGATAAAGACACGCGGCACTGTTCGCTATAGTGTTGAAGCTAATCGATTGCATTGATTCTTACTTGTTCTATCGTAGGAATGTATATAATGTTTTAAAGCTGTGGGACATTTAGCATTAATGTTACTTGGCATACATTGCTGGTGAAAACAAACTAGAGAAACTTTCCGCGTTTCCGCAGGAACATGCGGGACTACTTTTTTATCATATTTCCGGAATGATCTAACATGAGAACGAAATGCGATTTTCAAGCATCTTTACAAAACATAGCATATCTAATTCGATAATTATATATAAATAGCAAAATTGATTTTTTAAAAAGAAAATATGATTGTGATAAGAGTTATTATGATATATATCTCATATAAAAGATATATAATATTTATACATAAAGAAATGTATATTTAATAATTTATATAAATAAATATAGCGATTAGCAAGATCTATAGCTAAAACAATTTGTGAAGATATTTTGTAAAAAAAAATTATATGTCCCTAATATATTTTCTTGAAAAATTTTTCTTTTAGCGATAACTTTAATTTTTGAAGCGAAGCAAATTTTTGAAACAATTTTTGAAGAACAAATAACAAAATTGTATATTTGATAGATAAATGAGATACATAGAATTAGTATCCAAAAATTTTACATGAAAGAATATATCGGTTACATAAGAATAAAATTTTTGTAAAAAGCTTATTTATATTTTCTTAAAAAAATCAGATTTAAGAATTAAAAATCTATCAAAACCCAAATAAAAGTATAACATTTTATTCAAGAAACGAAAGATTTTAACGTATAAAATTCTCAGTCATTGATTATTTTTAACTTTTTTATTTTTAATTTTTTTTTAATTAACTTTTTTTACAGATTTCAATTTCACATTGCAATAATATAATTAGATTCTCCGGAAGTATATATTCGCGAAAAGTATAAAACGTATAAAAAGTATAAAAAATATAAAAAGAATTCAAGATGCGTGATAAGTGTCCACGAGTTGTCGTAACCCGTTGCTTGGCAGTGACTATCGTAAGTTCGTCTGCTCGTGACATGTTTCGCTGGCAATTTGCAAGTTTAACATCCGCATCGACATCGTCATTTACATACAACGATGATTTGTCAGTCCTGTATAAAATGCTACAATGTTACGTGAAGTACTCAAGAAATGAATGATTTCCAATATTTCGATGAAAGGAGAGTCACGATAAATGTTGATAAAAGCATCCAAATTCGCGATTAATATTTTTTTTTCGACAAATCTTGGTTCCAACTTACATCTCACTTTCCCTTTGACACATATATTGTAGAGGGTTAATTCAAAGCATATATTACTTAAGAATGTACCCTCTGCAATATATATGTCAAAAGGAAAGTGATCCGTGAGGTGTAAGTTAATGAGATTTATTTTTTTTCTTTATCACCATCGAATCTTTTTTCTTTTTCTCTTTAACGCGCCGTTTTTCGGTGGGTGGCCTCTCATCGTGGGTGAGAAAACGACGTGAAATTATGGAGAATGGAATGTACACATATAAATGCATTTTCCGCGGCGGCTTAATCGATGTCAACTATTGCATGTATCGACCTACTGAGGAAGACCCGTTATGCAGTATCTTCCTATCCCTTCCGTCGCAGCAATATATCGTCCCCGCTGTCTGGCTTTCGACTTTAGTACGTTCGTGACACGTCACCGGGCGGTCTGTCATCATCATGTCTTTGGTAGAATGTTAATGTAGATAGATTATCAATGGATGTGCAGATTAGAAAATAGTGGAGATAATCAATCTTTAATTTCATTTAACTTGACAATCTACTCAGGTAAAATTAAACACAGTTTTAAACACCCAATATAAAATTATTAGATGCAATAATGTATAATAATTAGATTATATGATGAACTTAATTAATAATACTAATAAATATGTAAATTTCACGCATACGTTTCTTTAGATATTTTTTGAAATTTTACAGTATAGCTTTCTAAGGCATTCTTACTCATGCAGACTGTCAAGGAAGACCATTTAAAAATTCACGCGTCGTTTCTGGAATATTAGTCACTTATACTTCATGTCCCGTTAAGTATCATTATATATATTCTAACGCGAACTCCTATAGATAGAATCCTATGACATCGGGGCTTGTCTAGTATTCAACGTGGGTACGTTTGCAGCTGCGTAAGTTCATTCATGGATTACTTTGCCATTCCTTTCTCGTTCGTGTTATACCGTTTCCTAATCATACAACAAAACATCCTTGACTATCTTTTCACGTGTTACACACTTTTGCACTTTTCAACCATGGCCATATTTGTAAGGATATCTAACAACAGTCTAGAACAAATGCTGATGATTTTGAAATCATGTAGGCTTTGATGGTAGATCCTCAAGAAATAAATAATGTTAAACTTTTTTTTTTGTAAAAATAAGTTACTTACTTATAATTACAATAAATAAAATCGTTAATCATTGACCGTAAAATTGATAAGAAGATTGTACATAATATTATATTTAATATAATTAGTAGAATAAATAAATATAAAAAGATACATACAATAAATTGTTCTTTACACGAAGTTTCGTTTGCAAAAAACATGATTTTGAAAATCGAAAACATTATTTCCTTTTGGTAATTTTTAATAACTTTATATACCTTATTTAATTATTGAATTCCTATGACAATTATTAAATAAAGAAATGAGCCTCTGTTTGATCTTGCAAGCTTCTAAATTATCAATTTATAACATAATAGATTTTAAATAATTCGAAAAACAAAAATCTAATATTAATTTAAATCAAGAGATATTCGAATATTTTATGTGCAAGAAATCTTCTGATTATTAATCTTGATTATTAAACATTCTGAAATTATAAATTAGAATATTTAAAAATCATGATTTTTAAAATATTACTTATGTTCTTGTATTTAAAACTTTAAATATTTAATAATTTGTTAATGCTTTGATTCAGAAAAAGAGCTATCTGTCAAACGAGCTGTAACCTTCCCAGAAATCAACATGCTTTGCATACATACATCTGACGACAAATCGTGACATACTAACCCAAGAGGTGCGTTTTAGAATAAATTTAATAGACAGACACACACGCACACATGTTAACGGTGCTGGTCCGATATGGGACGATATGGGACGCATTTTAATTCGCTAAACGTGGAGAAGAACTGGCATGCGACCAAGCATATAAAGAAAGCGACTAATTATGATTTCTTAGCACATAAATAATTGAACATTTGTCATGAATATTTGCGCCGTTTTCGGACAACTTATCCTCATATTATCATTTTTTAAATTTGTCAAAGAGTTTAGAATAAAGATTCTAATTATTTGTCTATAAAAATAATTTTTTTTTCTATTACTAATATTCTACTTCTATTACTAATATTGTTCTCTTCATAGAAAAATTATACATTTCATAGAGAAGTATTATAAGTTAAGAATGCTAGTATAAAGATAAGTTTTAAAAAATGCAAATATTTTACCAGTGATTCTTGAAATTGAGTGTATATAAAAAATGCCATAACATATTTTTAACTTTTAATTGATCATCAATATTGGTTATTGAATGGTTAAATATTGAAACTTATTCATAAGATGTTAAGCAATTTAACACTTATAAGATAACAGTTGATAAATAAAAGATTTTATGTATATCTTATTAATAATATTAATTAAATGGTCCATCATTCATATGATATTGAGATTCTTATATAATACATTAATACATGCATATAAAAGATCATATATTTTTAATATTAAATTTTTATAATACATTTTTATTTAAAATTAATTCTAATTTTTGACGAAGCATTTGTATTTGCTTTTTAATCACTCTGTAATTAACATAAATTTTTAAAATTTGTCAAGATGTTTATACAAAATAAAAATCTCATAACTAAATCAATACAATGAGTTAAATCTATACTTATATGCATAATAAATTTTGTTTTCTTATGCTAATATTTTTCTCTATAGATGTTATATATATTAGTCTCGTGTAACACTTCTCCCATTGCCTAGATCTATTGCGCAACTCGATCGTTCTATACGAGTTTAGATATCTCCTTTAGGTTTAAGCGTATAGAATGTGCAATCTCCTTATCACTATAGAAGTATGCCAAAAGCATTCCCAAGCAACAAGCGAGCTCTACATTCGCAACTTTTACAGAACAGCATGTCAATTTATTACTGCAATGTGAGTTTATCAATATAGATAATATGCTCGCATGACTATGGCAAATTTGCCGCGGCTGATCGCTTATCAGCATTCGTTCTAATCGTCCATCGCGACTCATCGCTTTTCACCGGGTGGTGCAGCAAAAAAAAGGCGAATACTCGCGAGAAGTAGCGCGTCCTTATACATGAGGTTTTCAATCGAATCGCAATCGGAATGCAGCAAGAGCGCCGGAAAAAATCGCTTGCCTAGATTGGCGGAGCTTAGTACAACAAGAATCGTAAAATAGCTGGTCCCACTGACCTAGTATATGAGAAATATGAATGCATTTATACCGCACCTAGAGATCTCGTAAATTCTTCCTCTTGCATTCGATTAAATTATTCGTTATCAAACCGAGATACTGCTTTAATTATTATACTGTCTAAAATTCCATTCTCCTTTCTTCTTCTTTTCTCTCTTCTGTATTAATCTTATATTAATCTTATATTAATCTTGTCAATGCTCGTGGAAATAATTTGTGTTTTCAGCATATTTTAAACAATTTTTTAGCTAATTCATAATTATAAAGTATGTGTATAGTTATACATCTGTACATATGAATTATATATTTATGTTTATATAACAGCTGCTAAAGCAATTAAAAACCGAATCTTCTTCTGCTCTTCGAAAATTCGTTCTAACAAAGCGACCCAAAAGTTTTGGCAAGTGTTCAAGCGCATTTAATATTCACTACATGACTTGTAACTATCCCGTTTCTTCACTCGATTTGCCTCTGCCCGCGATAATACCCAAGATTTTCTATATTTAAGATCGACCCAAATTGTGACAGAAAAAGAGACAGAATCGCAAGAAATCCGGTTACGTTATTATTTATTCGATTTACAATTATTTATAATAGTAGGCTGGTTTACTATGTTTCGTAATTATAATTACGTGTGTTTTACAATTTTAATTACATTCATTATGTGTAAGATCGTACTATTCAATTTGTTGAAATAATTGTTCTTAGTAGATCGCATCATTAAATTTAATTGTCATATTTCAAGCAATGAAAATTTTATAGATCAGAATTCTTTAGATGCGCTTAAAAAAAATTCTTAACGTCAAAAATTCCTTACGTCTTGTTTTTGTAGCTTTTAATTCTTTATTCTATACAATTGTAAATTTGGAGTCAAATTAAAAAGAAATACATAGAAAATCACATACACGTACATTCATATGCTCTTTATTAAATTACGAAATTGAATAAATTGTATCTCAAAAACATGGCAAATAATTGAGTTTTTAATGATTTTCGAATACAATGTATTTTGTTTGAAAAAATATGCAATTCGTTCTTTCAGTAAAAACTGTGTAATATTAGCTCTCTAATTATTTTCTACATTCTTTAAATTAATCATATCCAATCATTTTTTTTCTGAATCTGTTGCTGGGAAAAGATGCATATATTTTTTTAATTATTACGTCATATCTTTTCTGCTTTTGACATAAGCGTTTTCCGAACGAATTATATTTTGCGGGTTTAAAAATACTTTTTCTTGTACAAATCTCGGGAAAAAAGCGCAAATGAAACATCATATATGTGTACGTACGTAGCGTGCATTTAGTGTCTGGAATGGAAAAGCTTTTGGCAGATGCTTAAAGCGTATCGCGTAGCACGTGCGTGCTAGCGCCATTAGCGTGCTACGAGATGTACTGATAATTTCATATTTTGCGTTAATAAGTTTCCGCCGTAATAAATATTCCTCGGTGCGGAAAGCTTACACTCGTATCTTGCAATTAGAGAAAATAGTTATATAATTACGTAATATAATTATGTAATATTTAGAATATAGTTACAAGAAAAATTATATAGCTGTTTTAAGAATAAAACAGGAAAATTAAAATTTAGTTTTCATATTTTTTTAGATACACACATATGAGATATAATGGTGACAATAGCGTAATTCTCGTAATAGTATTCTCATAATAGTATTATGTAAGAATTAGTTGGAAATTTATAAATAATTTCTTTCCATGTTAAATTTTGTTTTCGAAAAAATTAATTTTGAAAAATAATTTCTATCAAATATTCATCATTAATTATTATATAATTATTTGAGATAGAGATAGAGAAAGAGAAAAAGAAATAGAGAGAAACAGAGAGAGAGAGAAATTATTGCGATATCTTTATATTGATAGTAATCTTTATATTGAAGTAATCAAGTTAAGTGATAGAAAATAAAATATACTGTTAGTATACTATATTTTATTTACATGTAAATTTTATGTGTTATAATACGACAGTTAAATGCATCATTAAATATGAATTTAACAACTGTTCTAGAGTTTCATGTGTTGATGATGAAAGAATTGGTTATTTCCGGTTGACAATTGTCATTCTCTGGCTGATAACTACCTAGTATATATCTGTTTATATTAGAAAATAACTGTTAATCACACACACTATATACTTACACATTAAATATTGCTCTGGGGTGAACTCAGAATACGCAATGTTCTCTATCCGTCGTTCTCTCACTTTTCTCTTCCTGTCTCATTGTCAGGTCGGGTACGGTCCCAACGCGAGAAATTTCTCTTATTGTTAGTGCTATGCGCCCATTATTACATCATCACTTTAGACATATACACAATCTGTTTTTTTTAAATATATCTGAATCCCCTAGTTGCTACGAATCATAGAATAATATGTACCTCAAATTATCAGAGAAATGCAGCTGTTTAAATATAAAACTGACATTTCCTTTTTATATCGCACGATTTATCGTTCCTTCTTTTATATAAGTAAAGCTATTTCAAACAAATAGGATATTGATTTAGCATGTTGATATTGTTATCAAAATATTCATATTTAAACGCGCGCTTTTTTATCAATCAGAAAATTTTATCACAATAATATTATATATTATATAACATATATTGTACTCTTTTAAATTTTCATCTCTGACACATTTTTATCCAAGCGCACACATTTAATAATCATTAATATAACAATTTTGGAATTGTTTTATAATAATCAGCAACACATATCACTCGCGAATAATAACATTCTATTTAATTTAGCAAAAAGTTCATTTTAAATCATAATTACACTATCACAAACATTTTTCACTTTTTATTTTATATAATTACACTTATCATTGTACACTTATCATTGTAGACTTTTTATGCGAAAAAAATGAAATTAATGAAATAATGAATATAATCATGTTTTGTCGATCGAGAGAAATACACGATAATATCAATATAATAGCTATAAATTGATAATATAAAATATTACAGTTTTGCAATTGATTACGAGATATTTTTCACACGTTTTCCTAAATTTTCACTCGCGAGAGACATCCACGTGGCAAACCGAGCATCGAGACGGCCAAAGAGAATCTCCGGCAAATTTGACTCAGAACGTGGGGCATACAATGTACGTGTATGTAATGTGTGTGTTTGGTATGTGAGTAAGCACGTGTCACGTGGCCCTTATATATATAAGCGTAGCTCGAGGGTTTAAGGTAGCAATAGTGGGACTATTGTCGTGGATACAATGCTGCCAATACTGCGTTCGTAGTAGTAATCGTTGACGGAGGGTAGTTCTTGGCACGATTCTCCATGGGGGAACTGGACCCTCGCACTATGGATTAAACATCTGTCCAAGATTCCTCTCCCCTCGTCCCCTTCTAAACCACTACCATCAGCCGGCCCATTGCCTTCAGATATGGTATATATTTCTTTTATATTTTATGATGTTTGACTAGACATGTTAGATTAGATATGCAGATTCAGATATCAAAATAATAGTATATTTTTACTGCTGTGTTCTACCTTCGTTATCTTTGTTTTTTTTTTTATTTGATCTTTCGAGCAGTACGAATATTTTTAAAAGAATATTTTTAGAAGAATTTATATAAAATAAATAAAAATAAAATAATTTATAAGAATTATAATTTTTTTTATTTTGAACATATATAAGTATCAAACGCACCAAATTTTAGTTCTATATCAGGAACAGAAATTACAGTTTATAAAACGTTTATAAAATGTTATTTATTATTAATGTTTATAAAATGTTTATCTCTCTTATTTAAAATTAGATA